TTTTAGAGGTTTTTGCCTTAGGGTGTGTGCACTTGCCAAAAAGAGATAGACATAATAAGAGGGAAAGTGAGAAATCATCACCCAAGGGGAATGGCCACAATTCCTTCTCCTCCATTCTCCTCCTGGGATCTTGGGCACCCATGCATACGCACCCAACATGATTTTCAAGTCACCAGGACGAGGACTCAAGCTGCAGTTGACCATGTGGGAGTCCAGCAATGCAACCACTAAGCCATCTGCTGGTCCTAGTGTGTTTATTTTTTTTTAATGAAAGAAATATATGTTTGGCATGTATTTTAATACAAAAAGTAAGAAGTACATTAAATGAAAATTAAGTTACAAAAATATATGCCCATATAAAACCTTGTACACAAACATTCGTAGTAGCATTATTCACATTAGCTGAAAACTGAAAACAACCCAGATATCTGTCAACTGACAAATAGATCAAATGTAGTGTAACCATACAATGAAATCCTATTTGGCAATAAAAGAAAATGGAGTGTTGTTACATACTACAATATGGTGAACCCTGACAACATATTGTATAATTCCACTTATAGAATATGTCCAATAGAGGCAAGTCCAAAGAAATGAAAAATATATCATTAGTTACCAATGGCTGGGAAAGGCTGTAATGGGAGTTACTTCTAAAGGATAAAAGATAGCTTCTTTTGGGGATGATGAGAATATTCTCGAGTTAGTTTTAATTGTCGCACAACTCTGTGAATAAACTAAAAACAACCTAATTGTCCACTTTCAAAGATGAAAACTTTATGGTATATAAATTATATATCAGTAAAGTCATTACATTAAAACATAAAGAAAGAGTATTTAACCTTTTCCCTAGTTCCTTATTGGTTATTTCCATTCTGGCCCTCAGAGTTGCAAATTTGTTGTATATGCTTTCAAGTGTAAAATATGCACATAAAAACACGTGCATATTATAAGCAGGATTGTATTATATATTCCACTCACTCTATATTAATCAAAACATGCTATTTACCCATTTACTTTTTAAAATACTTGACTATTTTTCAAACAAACTGCTATCTACTCATACTAAAATTCCAAACTACCTATTATGTCATGCATAATATTGCTTTTAAAAATTTCTAAGATGGTTCATGGTATTGCTTTAAAAATTATTAAGTCTGGGGAACCAGCAGTTAGCGCAATGGCTATGTCGCTGGACTCCCATGTAGACAACCGCGGTTCGCATCCCGGACCCAGTGGCTTAAAACTCACACCGGGCGCGTGTGCATGCGTGCCCAAGATCCCAAGAGGAGAATGGAGGAGGAGGGATTGCGGTGTGACCATCCCCCCTGGGGGGTGATTTCTCGCTTTCTGTCTCTATGTCTCTCTCTGTCTCTCTGGCGAGCGCACGTGCCCTATAGCAAAATAACCTCTCCAAAAAGAAAAAAAAAATTATTAAGTCTGGATAAACACTTTCATCCTAGGAGAGTATTCCTGCTTTACTTACTTTAGCACAGAATACTCATACTTTGTTTTCATCTAACTCTATACAGGTCTATCTAAAAGATCTGAGGTCAGGAATGGATTCTTGGGGCTTTCGAGAGAAAATTACTTTCTGTCATTGATGATCCACTGACTCTATGGCATGGGCCCTTAGTGGCTCTGATGCAGATATGATCCAGGGGATGCTGCTAGAAACCAACTGGGAAAGAATAGAAAGTCAATTTGGTGACATAGGAAAATGTAGTTCAGAGTAAAGAAGCAACTTCCTTTAGGTTTTGGTCCATTGCTGTCTTCTCCACTGTTGAAACCCTACTCCATTTTCATCACAAAGTTCAACTATAAAATTATCTTGAAAATGATATATATGTTGATATCTTTTATATGTTGATTATGTAAAGATGTATAATGATTAATTCAAAATTTAAAAATAGTAATAATAATAATAATAATAATAATAAAGAAAATGACAGAAGTCCAGGAAGGAATAGAAGAGGGGGGCAATTGCTATCACTTTCCAAAACTGTCCTTGAGTAACCCAGGAAAAAAGTAGTCCTCCCATGTCATTCCTCGGAAGTTTTACCGTATATCTTGTAACCTCGTACTTTTATTCTCCTTTTTCTTATCATCGTTCATACTGACCTTCTTCTTCCTCTCTTGATGATATTTGTTTACAAGAAGAAACTATGTCTCATCCATCTCAATTCCAGCACATCAAAACTTTAGAGGTCACTGATAATCATGGTTTGACTAAATAAGTTAAGCAAGTTCTTCAAAGCACACAGACCCTGCCAATAATATAAATCAGTAAGTGCACTTGACTCATGATCTTAAACTATCATTTGCATTTAAACTTCTGGGTAAAATCTCAACAAAACTAATAAGACACCCTTCAAGCAGAACACAAATTTCAGCACTATAGGAGCAAGTATTTCATACCACTATCTGTCATTGTTTTACCATGTAAGCAGCTATCAACACACAAATCCATTGCAGCAGAAAACTTTGCTCTCAAATACAATTCACAACATCTCACAATATGAACATCTCACAATATGAACTTCCAGGTGATTGAGCTGTGTGGAAATTATATATTTTTAATTTTTTTATTTTTTTTATTTTTTGCTGCTGAGACTGTGAAAAGACTGGGGAATAACCGCAGTATTCTTGCCCATGTTGCTTATCTCACAACAACAGATCACAGTCTCACACTCCTCATTCCTGAACACTTACTGAGCACTTAATAGCCACGTGTTCATTCAGGGTAGAGTAGTAGGTGAGAATAAAGTAAGTGAGTTTTTACCCAAGACAACAGAAGAGCACACCTGAATTTTTAGTCTTCGGGTACTAAAAATAAGCTTGTTGGACTTAATCTCAAGCTTTCCTGTCTTTTTGAGAAAGGAAGTCATGCCCAGTAAAATTTCTTCTATAATTGTGTGTGCTTCGACTTCATCAGCTGATGCTGACCTTTCAAGATGTTTGCTTTCTTTATTTAACATTGGTGACATGTTCGTTGAAGAAAAGGCAATGATCTGATATGTTCATGTGCTTCATCTCTGGAACTTGTGTTTCTCTCATTGGGAAGCAATAAATAGTCAACAGAAAAAAATACAGGGAAATAGGTCATTGCCTGTAATGATAAGTTCTGGCATACTCATGAGGTTAAATGATATACTGAAAAATTCCTAGAAGCACTTTTGAGATGAGTCAAAAATCTAATTTATATGAAGAGTGACCTTATTTAAGGCACTATAGCAAAGAAAGTATAGTATTGATCTTGGTGGTACTGGGTCAAGTATGAAAAACAACATACCTCATTCTTTCATACACCAAACACGTCGTAAAATAGTAAGACTATGTAAAGATTAACTCAAGTAGAAGTTAAGTACGTCACACATGGACAAAGGGTAAGTGGAAAACTGATCTCCTAGTTCAAGATTCATTTAACAAATAACTACTTACTCCTTTATTCAAATGGGTCCACAATGTGCTGAGCTTGTACATTATACTCCTGAAAGAGTTCCTATCCCTAGTGAAGGAAATTACACTAAGAGAGGCTACTATGTGGCTAGGCCTGGAAGGAGCAGATCCAATACTTAACTGTAAACTGCATGCAGCACTGGGAAAAGTACTTATTTTGGAGTCAATGCTGGGTGCTACTTCTAATAGTGCCACAAATGGCTTGGACTGATCACTTATCATCTTTGACCCTTATTTTCCTTATCTTCGAAATGAAGGAATCAAATTGTACTATCTTTACAGTCCCCTTTACTTCTAAGATCCTATCAATATAACAGGGCTTTGGGGCTGTGTCCATCATTATATTATCCTGGAATCACAATCCCTGAGAATTCTATGTATGTCTTTATTATACTGAAGCTTATAAAGACATTTTTAAAGTCGCTGGGCTGCAGCTGTGAGCTTTTGCCAGACACTGTTATGGAGACTCATTAAGGTGCATTTATTGACTACTATTGTGTGCAGAATACATGTCTCAGAGATGCATATATAATCATGTATTTAATCAGAAAAAAAATGTAGGAATGGAACTAGCCAAAGATCTTTGCATAAAGAGTCGGAGCCTTTTAGCTTGGCTGTTTTTTGTTGTAATGCTCTGTTTCTTGGTCTTGGCTTCTTCTATAGTCTTAACTCCATGCCTTGAAAACTTTTCTTGGTCATGAAAAATGTGTCTTTATTAAGTTGCTCAGCATGGCAATATAATTTAAAAATAATTCTCTTTTAAAGGAGCACATGTTTTTTGGGGGAGACAGTCAGTGCTATGGTTGTTAAAGCTGCTGGGCCCCACGTGGCAGACTGCATGATTCAAATCTCAGACCCAGTGGCTTGAAAAACATACTGGCATGTGTGTGTGCATGCCCAGAATACTGAAGGACAGAGGTGGGGGAAAGAACTGCAGAGTGACTGTCCCCAGGGTGCTTTTTCACTTTCTCTTTTCCCATCTTCCTCTTGTCTATCTCCAGTGAGTGCATATGCCCTATGGCCAATTTTTAAAAAAGAAATCATGTTTTTTAATACACTAGCTGAAATAATTTGATAGATGGAAACTATAAAAATAAAATTAAGATTATTCTCTTATATGCTTTAGACAATCAAATTTAATTCACTATAAAAATAAGTTTCTCTTAACAACAGTAGCAAACAATACCATAATCTGTTGGAATTGTTAAATAGTTAGCTTGTTGAAAGCGGGAAAAATGAAAGGCAATTAAGCAAAGGTTCCAATATTTTTTTCTAATTCACTCAGCAGTATTTACCACCAAGAAGGCTAATTTTAATTCACAGTATTTGTTTTCATATTCCACCCCCAATCATTAAAATATCACACTTTTAAGATTTTTTTTTTTAGTTCTTTCCCATCTATTGAAGCAAGACTGTTCTCTCCTTGATCAAGCAGACAAAAATCAGTAAGGTTGAGATCAAAGTCCGCAAACACCATATCCTAATTTTAAATTGCATGCAGGCCTAAAGCTGGTGTGTAATACCTCCATTCTTTTCCTCTGTAGGCATTTATGTCCATGTTCCAGATCCTCACCCAGGAAGGATGGGTAGACGTAATGGACCAAACTCTAAATGCTGTGGGACACATGTGGGCACCTGTGGTTGCCATCTATTTCATTCTCTACCATCTCTTTGCCACTCTGGTGAGTTTAGCATTTCTTTGCAATTATATCTTGGAATTCATAATGGAATGAGCATCAAAAGATATTTGGCCTATTGTCAATTTCACACGAGAGCCAAAGGACAAGTGCAGAGTAGTCTGGTTGGATGATAGCCCTTCCATGCTAAGCTTCCACAGATTTCAAAGAATGACTTGAGGAATCAGATCTCAGATTTGTGAAGTTCGAAGTTGTTTCCATCTAATATAAGTGTTTGCAAGAGGGAAAACATGACAAAACAAAATGGAAATCCCACGTTCACATACTAATTTAACTAGCCCTAAGCTTTCACACCTAGATGATCTAAGGATCAAACCAGATTTACATTATTATTTTTTTATCATGTAGAGATGCTCTCTTCAATTTCTCTACATCCTCTTCACAGCTGTAATTAAACTGAAGACAGAAGCTGGAGACCTCAGGGTGCATCAGTTAATTAGATATCGGCACAGTGGTTTTGTACTATGTGCGACTGAAAGGAACACATCAGAGAAAATAAAACACATAGCTAAAAATATTGCAAAAGCACAAGAAAGCTTAATACCACAGTCCAGAAAAACTACTTTCTATCATACAAGTGTATTTTCCTCTTCAGTGTTATTTTTATTTAAAAAGAAAATGGTTATGAAATGCAGCCTATAATATACTAAGGGGTGCAATTCACAGATCTTTCTAACACCAAGTATACATCTCCATATAATAAATGTGTTCATGTATAAGAAACAGACGTAAATGCTAATACTATGTTTACAATCCAAGTTAAGTATACAAATGTTACCCTTTATCAGAAACACGTAAAATAAAAACTACTTAATGGCAAAACATTTTACAGTATTATCCCTAATCTTTGAGATAACCAAGCTAAGTAACATTCTCAGTTCAATAAATGAAGAAACTGAGGCTCAGCGTTCAGTAACTTGCCCAGTGTCACATAGAGCATAAATGTCCCACAAAGTATAAACGTTCAAAACAGAATGTTCCCAGGTCTGTCTGATCTCAAAACAACTAATTATTGCCGCTCTTGTAGGTAATAAAACTTAAGAGTTGTCACTGAAAATGTCTTCACTAAGTCTAGTATCTGCCAAAGAGTCACCAAAGTCAAACAAAGTACATATGATCTCTAAGGTCTCTTTCAATTTTAAGTTTCTCTGGATTAAATAAGTACTTGAGAAAGTAGGTTTAACTTAGCAGTTAGTTGTGTTTGCTACAGGCAGAAACTTTCATAACAGTGGCTCATCTGTCATAAAGTTTATGGGAATACATTGGCATGTGGTGTAAAGTTGTGGGACCAAATCAAATCACACAGAAATAGTTATGGCACTTTTTTAAACATAGAGTCCATTTTTAAAGTATTCACAAAAGGAAAACATTGGGTAGTGAGAACAGAGGTCTGGTTTGCAGTCAAATATGACTGTGCAGCTATTTGCTAGACACTGATCCCTGGGACCTTTGCATGCTCCCTCCTAGGACCTTCACATCTGTGTCATTCATCCATCCATCCATCCAACCATCCACTCATTCTCTTAATAATTCACTCATGAATTCAACTCATGGTTATTAAGCACCTACTAAGTGTTTAAGTCAAACTATTAAGTACCTTAGACATTGGTCGTGGATTAAATGCAGAACAGAGTTGATTATTTCATTAATCAATCAAATTATCTTCTAGTTATCAATCTAATCTTTCCCTTCTAATCAATATAGTTGCTCTCCTCATTGCAGATTTTTCACACTCAGATACAGATTTGATTGTTAAGAGTCACAAAATATGAAATCTGGAAGAAAAACTATCTAGCCTAGTAAATTACAACATATAGTAAAGTGAAATTTTCTCTAGGGAAATTCTACTGGGATCACTAATATGAAATAAAATCTTAAAATTGGTTTATAGTCTTCTTGGGAAATGTAAATCTTCTTTGTGGGTCAAAAATATGGCATTGACTGTGGAACACTTAAGCATATTCAAGGACACTGGGGTTCACTTGAGGTTTCAGGAATCTACAGAGAATAACATAAAAACCTGTACCTAATTCTGCCCCTTCATACTATGAATTTAAGTAACTGACTGACTACATTTTTTTCACTGTCATTTTCAAAAAGTAGTTCTATTGGGCTGTCGGAAAAGTCATGATGTATTTTTCTATGTTTTTCTAGGCAAACATGCATCATGACTTTTCTGATGAGCCCATAGTTAAAACTGAAATTGATAAAATTTGTTCTTTAAGTAGCAATTTTTTAAGACATAAAGTAACTGAGAGTTGAAAATGTGGCATGTCAAGAACAGTTTGGTAAATATGGTGTAGTATAATATTATGGATTTGGAGCCCAAGTATGTAGATTCAGCTTCTAGCACTGCCGGGCAGTGGGTGTGTGATTTTAGGATTGAATCCTATCTCTGTGTTGTTTCATTAGAAATTGAGGATAATAATGCCCAACACACCTGGTTTCCCAGGTTGTCAGGTATATGTGAATATTTTCTTGTATTTCTGAGGACGTTTTGGCCCCTGGTGGTAGGAGAATTATTTTAACTATCAACAAAACTGACTTCTTTTAAGTAAGATAGTGTATGTATTTAAAGGTATACATTAACTGTTAAAATTGTTAGTTCAGATGTTTTTAACTTACAGAAGTAGAGTGCTATTGGTCAGTTTAAAATTTCGTCTATGCCCCTTTATGGACCAGCTCCCTCTCTCCCTCCCATCCTTCCTTCCCTGCACCTCTTTTACCAGGCAGTGACTTATGATACATTTGTAACCATTTATCTTCCAGTTTTTAAGTTGTATTCCACTAAATTCGATATGCTAATAACTAGAAGGCTTATTTTGTATAACGCAAAGGAAGAAAACAACAATTAAATGATACACATAAATGATAATGATAATATACATTCCTATTTGAGAGTAGTTAACATATGAAACAAGTGGGATCTTAAATAGCAATGGAATAAAGAGATCTCCCACACATAAATGCATGAGAAAATTCATTTGGTATGTTGTAATGATACACAGCGATTAAACATAAAAAACAATTAATTAATTAAAATATATGTATACTATTTTAAGTTTAAGGTATTGCTAAATACATTTTACACCATTGGTTTGGAAGATTAATACTTTTTGTTTAGTTTGCGAGTCACAGATGCAGTGCACTCACTGGTGGCTGTCCCTGGGGAGCTGTGTGGTGGGCACACCTCTCGCATTTCATCCATACTCCATGCTGAGACTGGGTTTGGTCATGTGCTTCCCTCCCTACAAATCATTAGCAGCAGTAATCTTCAGAATAAGTGGCATCACACTCTACAAATATTCTGCAGTTAAGTTTTTCACTGGATATTTTTTGTGAGATCTTTTTATCTCAATACACATGATGCTAATTCAGTCATTAATGTGGAGTGATTGGTTGAATATACCATTATTTTAATCATATCCTTTTCCGATGCATATGTAGGTGGTTTTCCAGTGTTGTACTCTTTAAAGCTGCAATATGTTTATACATTGTGATGGGTAGTGTCAGTTTCTCTGCAGTATATGGTTGAAAGTAGAACACCTGGATCCTGGCTTTGGCCCAGTTTGTTCTATACAAGGGGTCTGTAAGCCTATATCTGGTCTACCACCTGTCTTTTACACAGCCTGTGAGCTAAGAATGGTTTATACCTTTTTAAATTTTTATGTAAGTAAGTGCCCACATAATACCCTCCATGATGCCTTGTAGCTCTCAAAGCCTAAAATATTTACTGTCTAAACCTTTAAGAAAAAAATTGCAAACCCTATATGCAACCTGCATTAATTTACCTTCTCAAGTGTTGAAGTTAAGAATGCATTTGTTCTTATATTCTCGCTTATATTTAATATTGTTTGACTTTAAAAATTTTGACAATCTAATGACTAAATGGTGGTGCCATTTTGTCTTAAGATTTTGTATCTCCCTAATGTTAAAAGGGAATACCTCTTCATTTTTTCTTTATGACTCACCCAATTCACCCAATCATTCCCTTTACCTATTTTTCTTTTTAAAAAATAATTATTTATTTAATTTCATTTATTATTATTATTATTATTAAAATTTGCTACAGGGCACACATGCTCACCAGAAGAGAAAGAAAGAGAGCGAGAGAGAGAGAGAAACCAAGCTACCAGGTCCAGGACTCGAACCGTAATCCTCCATGTGGGAGTTCAGCACCTTCACTGCCATACCACCTTCCAGTCCCATGCTTTACCTATTTCTCTTAAGGCTGATTTGCCTTTTGTTTTATTCATTCAGAGTAAATATGTGTGTGTGTGTGTGTGTGTGTGTGTGTGTGTGTGTGTATACATCTCCAACAAATAAAACCTGTGATTCAAGGCCTAATGACACAAGTGATAAAAGATGCCTAAGTGTATTGTTACTTGCTATGTGAACAATGCCCATGTAATAAACATCTACTTTCCAGATATTGCACATATACCTGATGTAGAATATTTGAACTATTGGCTGTAAAACAGCTGGTGATGGTTTGTGGACCAACAAATAAACGTGTGTATGAGGGTGACATATACGCATAAGACGACCTTAAAAACTACATTTAGCACTTCGTGTATATTTCATAAGCCTATCTTTAGGCTTGATCTCAACTAAAAATTAGTATTTTTGTTCAGTTGTGTCTATTTTTTTATAAAATACCACCAAACATTTTAACATAAAAGGTAGGAGGAGGAGGCCTATGAAATTATACAAGCCCTGATTAGTTTTTCATCCCTGCTGACCAGTGGCACCACATAGCCCAGTGAGTTCCTGATTCAGTCTTTCAGGGACAGGCACGTGCTAAGCAGCAAACAGAAAAAAGAAAATAAATGTTCGGCTGCAGCTTGCTCTGGAATAAAAAACAGCAGGCGATTGCATCACCCCTGGGGGCACCAATTTGTCAGCCCACAATGAAAAGCAAGCTTAAGTGTATAGCAAATGCATATTCATAACTATTATCTATTGTTCCTTTAAATCTCTCTCTT